GTTCAAACACGTGGTCATCATTTCTTCTTTTCCAAAATTGAAAAAATTTTCTAGCAATACGTGATTCCATCTGCCATTTCACCGACGACATAAACACTCAGCGGCACATATGAAACGGGGTAAACCGTTACCACCGAAAGAAACAAGGCTACAATGCTCTGACGTAAGCACCTCGTGACGTCACCTTTGGTAGGCCGAATGGATTTGTTCATGCGTAAGACGGCTACTTAGACTCAAGCGCAATTTTGGTTTGTTCACTAAGGCACAATCGATTTCTTCGTTGAATATTCATCAAAATGAACAGTGTTTTGTGTTCAGTAAGGAGAAATGCCTCATTAGTGTTGAGTACAGGAGTGCCGAGGAAATTAAAAAAATGGTCCTAAATTTCATGATTTTAGTTTCTCAAAAAATACATAGCAGCCATTCACTGAAAGGATTTCAATCTATCCAAGTACAGTAAGGTCTGTGAATATCAGCAAGAAACTTGGTTCAGAATCGAATGTAAATGAGGCAACAAGATCTATAGCTAGAAATTATAGGGCGAACTGAAAAAAAATCTAGAGACGGGATTATTTTTTTAAATGGAATGCCCTGTATATCAGCACATATTTTGAAGCATCCCTGTGACCTACATCCACTCTTATGATATCGTTGACTATGTCTCGATTATATCAGAGTCCAAATAATGTCATCTGCAGAAGTATACCGAAAAAATCACTCTCGTCACAATTATGAACTTAAAAAGAGAGTGATCATAATCATTCGATATTTGTAGAATTTTCATGCCCTCAAATTATACAGGAAGGCTAAAAATGATTTTTCAATTCGGAACTTTTAAAAGTGATTTTTCTCGAGTTTTTTCAAATGGAACACCACATATATTTTCTGGCTATTCAATGAAAAATCAAAACACGAACATCTTTCATTTCAACATCAATATCGCTATTCGTAAACATTTTTTGAATTATTGAACTTTAAAAATAATAGGTTGGCCATTTTTATCGATACACATTCTAATCTGTCATCAAAACATCGAAAGTCCAATTAATAATAATTCAATAAACCCGTTTTTTTTTTCTTCAAAGAATTGATACCTCAATCAAACCAAACAGACATAGTTAGTTTATATGCTAGTTATTCACAAGTGAAAAAGAACAAAATTTCCATTTTGCATAATTTCATGTGAATAGTTCAATTGTGAATCATTATACTGGTTTTGTTTTCAATGTGCTATATGAATTCATGTGTTAATTTAGAAATGAAATTATTTTCCTTTTTCACTTTGTAAATAACTAACATATGAACTATGACTGTTTGTTTTCATCCTGGTATCAATTCTTTCTATGAAAAAACTGGTTCATTATATTATAAAATTCTAAAAGTTCAATAATTCCAAAAATGGCTACGAATATCAATATGGATATAGGGATAAAAGATGTTCGTGTTTTGATTTTACATCAAATGGCCAAAAAATATATGGGGTGTTCCATTTGAAAAACTCGAGAAAAATCCCTTCAAAAGTTCCGAATTGAAAAATTATTTTCAGCCATCCTGTATATTTTGAGATCATGAAAATTCTTCAGAAATATCACTTTCCATAAAATGATATTATGATTATTCTCTCTTTAATTTCATAATTGTGACGACAGTTTTTTTTTGGTAGGTATACAACTGCAGATGACAATATTTCGACAAAAAATTAATAACTTTGATATGATCGAGGTATAGTCAACGATATGATAGGAGTGGATGAAGGTCACGGAGATGCTTCAAAAACTGGACCTTGCTAACTCATTTACATTCGTTTTTGAATCAAGATCATAGCTATCATAGAACTTGAGCAATCGAGCTCCGACGCACTAATGCCCCACCCTGTAGATAAATCTAGTGATGACATGCCAGTAATTTATAATGTTGAATAAATCGTTCGACGATTACACTTTCAAAAAGACATTTGAGCCGAGGAAAACTACTCTATCGGCAAGCTTGCATTGTCCAGTTAGTTCTGTATTTGTATATTATATTCTTATTATATTCAACGAAATCATCTCTGAATTTGAGGAAATATTCTTGAATGTTCATAATAAATCTAGAACAGTTCGAAATGCGCTTTCGCCTTTAGCACGATAAACCGCTTGACCGTCTCAACCACCGACTTATAGACTAATCTAGACCGCCAGTTCAATAATATAGGAACAGTCATGTTACACTCATGGATTCGAGAAACAAAGGCGTATCGAAGGAAAAAGTTTTGGGAGGGGTCTACTATGGTAGGTTTTTAAACCACGAATGAAATATGCGGTATTCAGGTCTCATAGCTACAAAATACTCAGATTTGAGAACTTAATTCTGAAAAACTGGAAATTTTGCAGGGGGTTTCAATGCCCTGGATTTGTCTGGAAGCATCAGAATGGCGTATAATGGTCCGAACATAATTATCCTTCCTGAGTGGCTAAGATCCAATAATAGTCTCCTAATAGCCTCAAACCATTAATTTCTTTTATTCTTAGGAATGCTAGAATCATTATTGAATGAGTAAACTTTTGATCCAAAATCGTCAATAGATGAGCAGGTATGGCACCTCACGCCTGAACTAAAATTCTTCACAGCTGAAAAACTACACAAAACATGCATGATTCCATTCGATTCAAATACTTGCTCAACTGATGAAAGCAAATTGAAATAATGAATTATTCATTGCCCAAAAACTCACCGATGAAAAGAAACAGCTTTAGTATTATTAATCGTGGAATTCTTACCAAAAAACACTGCACTTCATATTTCCTAGGATTGGCGAAAATAAAACAAAAAAATTAATATCACCACTCAATTTTGATATTATTTTTATCAAGCCGACCCCTGATGACATAAATGAAACAATTCAACCGACGCCATCCACCTTGAACAAAATGTATGCTAGGTTGATTTCGATACCACGTCAAAGTCGTGAACGATAGCTTGGAGGTTCCTGTGTATTGAGCAGAAGCGTTTTCAGGCGAGCAACTGACCCTACGTTTTCGGGTTGCTGCGATTTGACTACTAGCAGTCTAGATAGAGTAATAAGTCGGTGGTTAGTACTACCAATGATGGAAGTAAGATATGGTGTAATTACTGATGCGCTTTTGTTTCAGAAATTTTACTCGACCTCTCGAGAACCGCGAGAGCAATGGTTCCGTCGATCTTCTAATAGATGGCGACATTGCACAATTATGACATCTGTCAGTTTTGAAATTGTCGCAGATTTTTAGAATTCAGAGTTGAATAATCCCAATGTTACATATATTCCGCGTACCTAAAATGCCATTTGCCATTTTATTTCCACTCGTCACAGCAGCAATAGCAACATCACCATGGAGAATTATAGGCCAGTAACAATCCCATCAAGTATGTCGAAAATATTCGAATACGCATTTCTGAATAGACTTCTTTCATTTTCTGATGATCATAATATCTTTACAAATAATCAACATGGATTTCTGAATAAAAAATCCACTACTACCGCTATACATTCATATCACAGAGAGATTGTGAACTATATTGAAGCAGGCGAGTGCCCTGTTGGGATATTTTGTGATCTCAGCAGGGCATTCGACTGTGTCGATCATAAGATTCTCTTAGACAAACTATTCCGTTATGGCATACGGGGTATACCATTAGCATGGATAACAGACTATCTTTCTTATAGAAAACAATACGTCGCAACTTCCAGCATGGTCTTCTCTGAATTAGGAGTGCCTCAAGGGTCGATATTGGGACCCATATTGTTTGTTTTATACATAAATGATTTGGAATATTCAATTCCTGGAACATTTATAACAATGTATGCAGACGACACGTCGATCATAATTTCTGACAGATCAGATTCAGTTTTGAAAGAAAAATGTGACTTAGTTTTTGAAAATATCAACAAATGGTTTTCTGCAAACAATTTGTTTTTGAACGCGAAAAAAACAGATTCAATGAGGTTCCATCATCGGCAACGGAGGTGTGATATCATAAGCTTTAGAGCTAATGATAATTCTGACACTGTAACAACAGAGTGTGAGAGCTTAAAATTTTTAGGTCTTCACATTGATGAACATTTAAATTGGCAGAATCACTGTGATTTCCTGATCAAAAAAATTAACTCTACTTCATATCAGTTCAGGAATATAAGGCAGGTCATAAATGATGATCAGCTGCTGAAGCTGTACTATGCTCAGGTGGATTCAAGACTGGAGTGTGCTACTGGGGTTTTTCCTCTAGCTGCTCTGATGTCTTCATAGCACAAAAAAAACTCATACGAATTATTAGTGGCATAGGTCTCTTTGATTCATGCAGACCAGCTTTCAGAAATTTTAAAATTTTAACTGTCCCTAGTCTTTTAATTTTTGACTTGTGCTTATTTGTGTTCGAGAATAGAAATAAATTGTTTGTACTGAATAAATGTAAACATAATATTGATACAAGACAAAAAAACAATGATTTGTACCATTTGGAAAAACCAAATTAGCTTTCGAATCTCCTGACCAGATGGCTCCACGTATTTATAATTTGCTACCTGATTTTATTAAAGAATCCAAAACTGTTTCAATGTTTAAACGAACACTCAAGAATCATCTTGTTGATAAGTGTTATTATAGTTTTGATGAATTTTGGTGTATAAGTAGGTAGTTTTCGTTCTCTTTCTTTCAGGATTTTTTTAATCTCCGATCTCCATTTCTTTTCTTGTTTTTTTTTTTGACGATTCCTATACAAATTTTGTAACTTTGTCTTAAAGGAAAATAAAGATTATTATTATTATTATCACCATCTAGCGGGAAAATGTAGAATCAACGTCTCGCTCGTTGTGACGTGGAGAAATCATAGTAGGCGGTCGAGTGATTTTTCTGAACGTAATAATGGCCGAATACGCGCACCATATCTTACTTCCATCATTGTACTACCCAAGGTGACGTCAGCACGCTGGCCTGATCGTATCGATGGTAACGAATAAACACTAGATCGAGGAAGCCACCTACCTGCCTGGCCTTCGACTGGTACTCCTTTGCAGCCTTGAGCTCACCTTTGCCCTCTTGCACGTGACTTTTCGCAGACTCCACATGATACTCCACCCTGTCGACCAGCTCCCCCTAGGTAAGGGAGGGGAGGCGGGAGAAAAGTGGGGGGCCAAACAGAAAGTACACAGAGAGAGAGAGAAAAAAACCACACCGCAAACAGGTTATGTACAGACATTTAGTAGTAGATAGACCCCAACAGTGACAAAGGCACACAGAGTAGTTAGTCATGAGTTAACATTGAGGTTAGGTGCCAAGCATCCACATACATTTCAATAAATTGGGGGCGAGACAAGGACCAGGGGTGAGGGACGAACGAAAAAGAAAAAAAAACGAACTCAAATTAAAAGCGGTCTTATACACAGTGCATACTTAAGAGCTAGGGAATGACTCACCCGTCTGGCGCGACTTTGGTATCTTAAAGCTTTTTTGGTATCTTGAGTGGCCGTTTGCACGTAGTCAACGGCATGCTCCACGTGGTACTCAATGCGATCTATCATTTCGCCCTGGAATGGCCCAGCGGGGATGGAAAAGTGCGGTTAGATTCAGAGAAGGGTAAGCGATAACATGCGTCGAAGAAATATTAATATAGTCGTATGAAATGTTAAACTAAATATTTGTCATGTACTGTAGGGAAATGATTTCGTCGTCTGAACTACATTCACATCAAGAAAAAAACTACCAAAAAAAAAGTTTGCGAAATTGTTCGCCCTGTAATTTTTTCAATTCTTGTTCGATTCTGGTGAAATTACGACCAAATCGTAGATTTATGTTTCGGAGTGTTAGCCTGAATTTTCGTTCTTAAAAACGCATGATCATTATACAGGGAAGATCTTCTTAACGCCTTATGGCAAAAATGACTGGTTGAACCTAGCTTAATTAATTCATTATGTTTCGGATTGATCCCTTCCCTACAACATGGTTTTTGATACACGTTTTTAAAAAAAGATACAAGTATTTCAAGAAAGTATGCGATTTTTTAATTACAATTTCACCAATGGTTCAGAACCTACCGAGCATCTTTAAAGTGAACTCCAGAGGCGTATTCGTCTTCGTCCGACCCTGCCTGGCCTTTAAGAAGAGACTGCTTGAGAAATTTGTTCAATTCGATGCCACGGCGGTTGAACGCTGTGATTCAAGCTCGAGGGGTGTAGAGTGTCTCGAACATCTCATTTTACACCCCTTAAAGAGTGTGGACACACTTGCCATATTGTGAAACAGCTGAACAAGAAACACGAAGTACAAATATGTTTTATAAGAGATGGAATGTGATTTTTCTGTACCCCTTCATTGAACTAGTGCAGACATATTAGCATTTGAAATCCTAATAGTGGCGTAACACCAAAGGCACATAAAGCTCATTTTGTAGTTATATCAATATTAAATCATTGAATGTATTCCTATGAAATGAATATTGGGATTTGAAGCTTTAACGAACACTTGAAATGTCTTCTCGTCTTTGGGCAGCTCAAATATAAATGGTAGAATGTTTGCAATTCGTTACCGAACAAGACATACCTATTTGAAATCATTTTCGCGGGAACGCCTATTAATTTTTCCGAACTGACGTTTTAAATCTGAGAATGGTGACAATTCTGAAATGTCAGTGTTAACTAACAAGCGTCTCCACACTCTTTGAAGGGCATGTAATGAGATGTTTGAGGCACTCTAGAGGGGGATTTCCTCGTTAAGGACTACATTAAGGAGGTGCGCTTTTGATGTTTTTTGTAATTAAAGTTTCTTACCAGTGAGTGTTAGCGGGGTGGGAATAAGCGATATTAAGTTTTAGAAGTTTCTTCAAATTGCTAATCGATAAGTTCATGTAGGATCTTCTTTCTCAAATCATTTGTATATCTTCTTAAAAAGAATATATGTATTGACATGAATTGAACAACATGGTGTTGAGAAGGGATCACACTTGGAGTGTAATCACTCATTTTTGGCACAAGGCGTTAAGGAGTTATGGTGAAAGAGTAACTTTAGATTTCCCCTGCATAACGAACGAGCCATCAGGTTTTCTTGGGTACTAAAAATTAGGCTATCATTTTGATACAAGAATCAACGATTTGGTCGAAATTCCACAATATCAGAGGAGAATTGAAAAAGTTATAGGGCGATCAATTTGTGTAAATTCTTTGAGGCCGTTTTTTTGCCTGTGAGTGTATATAATAATTGTCAGGCATTTCCCTAGAGAACATGAGTCGTATTATGTGCAACAAGTGACAGAAGTGGAAAGAAAATCACACTTCATTCAACTTGTTGCATTAATAACTACTCTAATTTGTGTTAGTATATTTAGTGGTTCCCATAAATATCATTATTATTACAACTAACAATCGCCAAAAATTGATAAAAAATTTTAGGAATAGAGAACATGCATGAGAAGTTATGAATTTTTGTTTGGATAATATCTAATATTAACCAAGCAGCCGAGTTAAACCATCACCAAATCTAATCAATTTCAATAGATCAACAAATTTTTCTCTGAACAATCTTGTTACTATTTTAGTTTCAATCTTCTTGAAGAAAAGTTTATACGAACATTTATGAAAAACGCAATTCTGAATGCACCAGGTGGCGCTCGGTTTTCATCGTTCCATGTCAAAGCCACGTCAAAAGTAGGGAAAAACAAACTCAATCCTCATTCAATCCCATTAGTGCCATTAGCTTGTGTACTGTGACTGATAAGAATAATAAGTTTTCGAATTTCTTGACATTAATTGTCAATATTCGATCGAAAACGCTAATAATGCCTGGTTGTAGATGTTCTTTTGACAGATATGTTGCTCTATTTAGATGGAAAAAGCCGACAATTAGTGGAAGGAGAAGCAGTTCTCCGTGTTAATCATGTGATTTTGTGTGAGGCAGAAGACTTCAACAAAAGGCACATTTTTGCACTTTGTCTACAAACTTCGGCGAAGAAATCTTCCCCACATGAAGTAAATTTGAAGTTGGGGTCCAGAGGAACTCCTGTAGAACAATGGATTTGTATTTGTTCATGCAAAGCAGGACAATCTGGGTATTGTAAACATGTTGTAGCTGTTCTTTTATATGTCAATTGATTTGCTCGTCATAATTAGTTTGAATTGTTTGAACTATCTCCAATTCTTCACCCGTTCACTGTTCAGTAAACTAATAAAAATGTAATAATGTAAAAAAAATAGCCAACCCAACCTTCATCACTACCAACAGTGCCAACACTTTATGTCATTGACAAGTTTGACTACAGCTACAGCAAGCTGAATGCATAGTATATGCACTTTATCCATAGACAACAGTTTGTTTTCCCCCAGTTTGAAATTCGTATTATGTAACCTAGATGTCGCCCACTTCGTGAATCTCGCGAATATCCATACTAACGTGCTTACCGAGTATCGATAGCATTTATTTAAACTGAGTTATACAGAGAACTGCACAAAAAACGGTCAGGACTGTTACTTTTGAATTATTCGAGATAGGGTTTTGAAAATTGGTGGGCAGCTAGTATACCAAATTGCACATTTATTGACGAAACAATTTTTGTTCTATCACTTCCGGTTTTACTGGAAACGACCCCAACTTTTGATTTTTGAATGGGACACCCTGTATTGTATTCCATAATCGATTAGGGATTGTCATAACGAATTCATCGATACCGAGTTTGATAGGGTTATTTCGAACGATTACGCAGATATTCGCGTTCTAAGTTTCCATATGCTCAATGAGTGTGACAGAGACACTAGTTTTGATATTGCGAAGTCACACCCATTGAGCATATGGAAACCTCGAACGCAAATATCTTTACCTACTACCAATATGTAATGTAATTTACCGCACTATTGCTGTAAAGTGAAAACACAATTTCAATTTCCATTGTTTTAGTCAAAGAAAACAGAGAATAGAACTAATTGATCCTAAATATAGCAGATACTGAAGTATGAATTGCTTGATTTTCCGCAATTTCTATATAAGGATCAATAAATTCGTGATCGGGATTTTTTCGATAAATTTTTCTCAAATTGAAATGAACGCGTCAAAGTTGACATTTTGAAGAATCAGTGACAACCGAGAACACAATAGATTCATGACAAGTATGTATACGCCCAACCCTTATTTTTGATTAAATAATTAGCGTTTTCGGTAGTCGGTAAAATATTGTACTATACTCGTATCGTAAATATCTATTGTAATCGTTTGAAATAATCCTATCAAACCCGGTATCGTTGGATTCGTCATGATAATCCCTAACCGATTATGGACTACAATACAGGATGTCCCATTTGAAAATCAAAAGTTGGGGTCGTTTCCGGTGAAACTGGAAGTGATAAAAGATAAATTGTTTCAACAATCAATGAGCAATTCGGTATACTTGCTACCCACCAATTTTCGAAACCCAATCTCGAATAATTCAAATGTTACAGTCTTTGCCGTTTTTTGTGCACTTCTCTGTATGACCAAAACCAAAAATTTAAGCGAACTTTTTCATCCCGTATAACCAAAACCATTTTCTCCATGAAAGAAGGAAAAACACGTATAACATATTTTCATTTTTCCGACAATATCCAGCATTAAATATTTGAATACTTTTCCAGCGCGTTATGTGATTAAAATATCCAGTACATAATGTGAATAATGAGTTAACTAACCTCGCGTTTTTAGTGGATATTCATATACAGGGTGACATAGAAAAAAGTATATTGCATAGTGCCATACAATAGAGGACACTAAAATGAGGAAAAAAGTTCCTATGAACATGGGTCCGTAAGGCCTTCGGTTAAAAGATACGGGGTGTTTAAATTTCAATGGAAAAATGTATTGAATTACAAGGGCAACAATTTGAACATGTTCTAAAAACTTAATGTTTTGTTCTAATTAATCATATTTTTCATCATACCATCAAAATGTAATTGTTGAAGTATTTATCATTGTTTTTGCAAAAGTTACTTTGGCGCTTTTTGAATAATTTGCGTGCATTGTCGGCTTTTATAGATGCATTTGTACTGGAACCATTGCTTCTAGCGACTTGGACAAGGTATACCTTTCTTAAGTATAAAAGAAGGGATAACACATTTCTTTCCGTCGAAAATGACATACAGTGTATAGCAAAAAAGTTACGACCGATTCAATAGGGATGGAACCCTGTATGTAGCGCCCTCTATCAGTCATCACAAAACTAAGATCATATTTGAATTTAGCACGATAAAAAACGCCTGTATACCACATTTCATCCATTTCTTGCGTCTCTGGCTAAAGATATTCAGAGAAAACCAAAAAAAATTTAAATTCAACACCCCGTATCTTTTAACCGAAGGCCTTGCGGACCCATGTTCATAGGAACTTTTTTTCTTATTTTAGTATCCTCTAGTGTGTGGCACTATGCAATGTACTTTTTTCTATGTCACCCTGTAAGTACAGGGTGATTCACCATAAATGTCCCCCCCTCTAGCTCAGTTATTTTTGAACCGATTTTAAAATTTGAAATATCATCTTGAATGATTTTCGATAAAGTTTTTTTCCGCTAGATCAG